CCCCCCCCCGTCCAGTTTCATTGCCAAGAAGAGAAAGGGATTAATCTTCTATGTACTATTGTTTCACATGGTAGCGATTGTTTGGTGTTCACATGCAATTCTAAGTTCTACTTCTGTCACCTTAGGTCTGCAAAGCAAAATATTCCTTGTGCTGAAGTTAGGTTACCACATGTATATGAGGATTGGATAATGGTCTTGAAGGCTGTTCCTGTAGCTCTCCATTATTCACAGAGGTGATTCTCCCCCTCTACTCTGCTCTTGTGAGACCCCACCTGGAGTACTACATTCAGCTCTTGGGCCCCCAACATAAGGACATGGACCTGTTGGAGTGGGTCCAGAGGAGGGCCATGAAAATGGTCAGAGGGCTGGAGCATCTCCCATATGAGGACAGGTTGAGAGAGTTGGGGCTGTTCAGCCTGGAGAAGAGAAGGCTCCGAGGAGGACCTTATAGCAGCCTTCCAGTACTTAAAGGGGGCCTACAGTAGAGATGGGGAGGGACTCTTTATCAGGGAGTGTAGTAAGAGGATGAGGGGGTAACAGTTTTAAGCTGAAAGAGGGTAGATTTAGATTAGATATTAGGAAGAAATTTTTCACTGTGAGTGTGGTGAGACACTGGAACAGGTTGCCCAGAGAAGCTGTGGATGCCCCATCCCTGGAGGTGTTCAAGGCCAGGCTGGATGAGGCTTTGAGCAACCTGGTCTAGTGGAGGGTGTCCCTGCCCATGGCACAGGGGTTGGAACTCGATGATCTTTAATACTCCTTCCAACCCAAACTGTTCTATGATTCTATGAGCCACACATGAAAAGCTACTGGAGGATTTTTGCCTGTAGTATAGATGTTATTCGTATTTGATTTTATTTAATATGAAGCTAAACTTTTCTTCTAATGCAATCTGTATATTTGTCTTTGTGAGTGGTTTATCTTTAGCCAAAATAAATATTGAGGAGAAAAACATTTTTGTATTTGAAGCATAAAAAATTAATCTGCCCTGGAGTTGTGAAAGTAACAGACTTGGATAATTTCAGTAAAAGAAAGCAAGGATTCACTGTTAATATTTTTTTCCTTATCAGAAATTTGAAATTTCCCAAAGCATCTGTGAACAGCTATGGTTTCTGGTGTAATTCTTTGTAAGAGAGTGAAGTAGAGACAGAATAAATTACTTGCAACTGTAAGGAATTTATTTGTATGAGCTGCTGTAATGTTTTATTTCACTCTGGTAGAGATTTCTCAGATTGTAAGGATGGATTCCTTGGCAGCCTCAGCTAAGGGAGTATAGCAAGTCTCGCGCAAATAAAAGCACCTTCAGAATAATTGTTCCATTTCTCTTTTCTCTCTCTCTCCTCTTTCTGTGAGATTTATTTATCTCAAGAGTCGTAAGTTGTCAGACTTTCAATCTATATCCTTCTACACCTGTGATAAATAAATTTTTGCCTTGTCTTAGGAAATATTTCATAAATAAATGCCAGCATTACTATCCAACAAATATTTTTTTCACATTTATTTAGCCGTAATAGTGCGGTGTTAGTGGAATGACAAGTAGTCATTCAGAGATTCTTCTTTTTCTGAAAGCATGAATGCTTTAACAGGGAGGAAGGAAGAGGTTTTTTTCTCATAATAGTTTGTTCCACAGTACCTAGTTTATAATTTTAAAATAATTATATGCGTAAAGATAGAAAAACATTTTATTTCAGGGAAGTCCAAATACTGGTTTATTGGCTTGTACAACAGGAGTATCTATATGGCGTTGCTTCAGATCAGATTACAGCCTTGTGTAGGACATCGCACAGAGAAGGTCAAAAGATTTAAGCTAAATTTACACCAGACAATGTTTATTGCTACTCTTCTGTAGATGCAACTTGCACTGATGAGAGAGTGCCTAAACTTTGCTGGGAAGCATACTTTTTGGTCATCATAGTTACATCTACTCGAGACCTTTTGCTTTAGTTTAAAAAGGGGAGGTAGGTATGCGTCAGTGTTTCCCAAATCCTTTTAGTGGCGATTAAGTCTTCATCCTTATCTGGAAAAAACTTGGCTATGGAGCAATGGAAGGCAGGACAGTACAGGATCTGGAGGGTCTCCATAAAACAGGGGAGTTGAAAGGAGAATGAAACCCAGGGGTCTGGCCTGATGTCCTCAGGGGCAATGGGGCAACAGTTAAACAGTTAAAGGGTATTTTCCTTACACACCACTGCTTTGTGGCTTTGGATTTTGAGGTTTCCTCTCTGGAAGAGTGAAACTTCCCTGGCAGCACTGATACACTTATAAGTCAAGCTTCCCTGTGTGAAATAAGATAAGTTGGTAAATGGGCAAATAAACACTTTCACAAATGTGAAGAAGCTTAGCAAATAAACATGGCAATATTTCCTTTTAGGAGATTTTTATCTGTTAAATTTTACTGTAAATAGCTTATTGTGTCAACAAAATCTTGAAATGAAACTGCTTTTAAATGTGGATTTTCTTTTTTTAGCACTGGTTGGACCATTCAAAATTCATTAAGAAGCAAATAAAGAGTAAGTACTGTGTCTCTGCCTGTTTATTTTGTTACTTCCTTAAGAATTTGAACTTAGAGTATTTGAACGTGATTGTGAATGTTTAAATATGGCCTTTAATGGAATAATTATTATTTCTTAGGAAATAGTTTTAATTTAATGGCTAATTGGCTGACTATGCCGTGTCTAAACGCAAGAGCACTTATAAGCAATAGACCAGCCTTTAGTAGACCTCTTTAAACATGTCCTGTTTGTCTGAGGCAGAGTAGGTTGCCAGGTAATTTCAGTCTGCTCTGTGAAATCAGGTTGCCTGGACACAGATCACGGTTTCTGTCACTGCTTCTGATCCAGAACAGGTTTCCTGGGTAAATGGAAAATATTTCATTGTGTAATGGTTAACCTTTTTTTTTGTATATGATAAATAAAAGTAGCAGAAGTACCTGCTGTTTCACCAAAGGGAGTTTTTGGGTTGAGGGGTTGAGTTTGGCCGCGGAGATTTTTGTGGAAATTGATAAGGCAGGCAAGTTGCTTCTGGATCTCTGATAATCTGGTGACAGGCTTGGGTACAGTACAACACTGGCATTAGCATGTTTTGTTAATATGCTGCAGTTGGCAACAGCCATAGGCCAACTGATAATATATCTTCTCTGAGATTAAAATACATTAAAATATAGAATTTTGCAGGGAAATTGTTGACCCCCTTGCCAAGACCTCACAGAGATAGGTCTTGATTGCTTCAGTGGTGCTTTGCCTTTCTTTCTGATAAGTATCCAAATATCCAGATGATTTTTGTAAATGGTAGAGTTGTTCTTCTTCAAAGGCCTTTAGGACATCTTGTTTTCACCCCACAGTGTGTGGGTGACAGTCTGCTAGAACAGATGGTAGGGAGCTGCTGTGGTAAGGTTTTGGTGGTTGGCTTTCTCTCACCTTTTCATCACATCACAGACTGCTTCACCTTAACTAAGTGTTTTGCAGGTGTGCTTTCTGTGATAGCCTTGTCCTTTTCTTGGTCTGTTTTAAAATGTGGAAAATGAGCAATTCTGTAACACCTTCAGCCAGTGTAGTTGCAGTGTTTTGTCTGTGTTTAACCTTTGAAGGGCCTTTTTTAAAAGAAATTGGCCAAGCCCTGCCCTGAGGAATGCCAAAGAGGGAAGCAATTTGATGAGTGTTTTAAGGGTCTGTCTCACAACAGGATACTTTTCTTTACCTTCCATTCAGCAGGTGCTTTGAGAAGAGTTTGTCTTTCGTGGCAGGGGGGTTGGAACTTGATGATCTTTAAGGTCCTTTCCAACCCAAACCGTTCTATGATTCTGTGTTGCTCACTGCTCTTTTTTTCCCTAAGCAGTGAGCAGGTGAAAGTCATTATCTTGCTGATGCAGACCTTACCAGCAGTGTCTTAACTGTCAGCCTAGGGTACTATAACCTGTCTTCTGGGAGTTGGAGACAACATCAAAGCTCTAATTGTTAGAGTTTTGGCTGCATGTCATTTAGTAGAATGGATCTTTAATAGACACATATACACTGTGTTGATGTGGTGTTACAGAAGACCTTAGAAAGGTGTGAAAGAGAGTCATTTTTCCAGCAGTTAATATACCAGCAGGCTGTTGATCTGGAAGATGAGGCTTAGGCAGATAAGAATGCATTGTTCACAGTCTCATGGTAGCTGGGTGACATATCAGCTGTGTCACATAAAAAGTCAGACCTACCGTTCACCTTTTGGCATTAGAAAACAACAATTCTTGCAACTCCACTTCATGGCATTTGTTAGCTTTTTGTGTTCATGGGTGCCTTCCAGCACTTTTCACCTTATTTATCTCACCTTTTCTCATTCGTGTGTATCAATTGAAAGCCAATATGTTGGATGGGGGTTTTCTGGGGTTGTGTTTATGCCCGGTAACAAGAAGCATCACTGTCTCCCTCCCTCTCCCTTCCATCTCCCCTGCTCCCAGAAAGAGGCAGTGTACCCGGAACTGGCTGTCATTCACAGCATGCTGCAGGGCACATCTCTTCAAAACAAAAATGTGTTTGGACTATTGCTTGACTAATCTAATGATTAGAGTATCATGAAGTGTGATAATCATATCTTTTTTTATTGCATGCCTTTTTAAAAACATTAAATATTTGCTTTGAAGAATTTGGAAAACATACTTCATGTGGGTTTCTTGGGTTGTGAGGTGGTGGCTGTTGTTCTGCCTTAGCAGAACCGCAACTAGTGTAAACTTTTTTTTCCCCATTTAAAATCTCTGCATATACAGTTGGACCTCCGTACACGTTGCATTTTCGAATTAAATACTATTCATCAGAACCGAACAACCTTCATGAGGAGTTTACAAGGTAGGAACTATGCATGGCTAACTGGGTGACTGGCAGAGGGGTAAATAAGATATCTAAGTTACACGGGGGGACTGTAAGCAGATGATTTGAGCTTTCTTACTAAGAGTGGTCATTTTGTTTGACTTCTTAGGTGTTCTGCTACTGTCAGAGAAATATAATCTTTTTATTTACTACCAAAAACCATTCATGGGCCTCTCCAGGTGTTTTAGTCTGTAGGAGATACTGTGTTCTGATGCTCTGAAGTTAGCACAGAAAGGCAGCGTTGGGTGGGGAGAGCTGCAGCTGGGAGATAGCTGCTCTTTACACCAACGACACCTGCCATAGCTCCAGGAGGATTTTCCATCGTGTCCTGCTAAAATGCCAGTGCTCTGCTTTGTCCCCCTTGCGCTGGAGTCTCGGGGGTGATTTAACAATGGTACAAAAGCCACAGATTTGTAGGAATAGACCGCTTGAGTTCTTGGTTAACGGTTGACTGAATCTCTTTCGCTTCCCCACAGTTCTCTGTAGTGCAAAAGATGTAAAGACTGCATTGTATAAAGTCACCTTAGAATACCTGGAGGTCTTCTGTTTCAATCTGGTGGGCTGTTTTCTGGGCTGTGAAGGCTATACCTTGCTGGGTTCGTAGTACCCCGGTGTGATCTAGAGAATATTCTGAAAATAGCGAAAGAAGCAGCTGGAGGAAAAAGATTTACTTACCTTTTGTATCTGCCAACTTTGTGTCTTCTTTTTATAGTGATCATCTGTTTAATGTTGTTTTATCTTTTTTTTTGTTGTTATTCTGTTTCTCACTGTACGGCACTTTCTGTGTCTTCTAATTTGGTTGGCAATAATCAGTGTACTCCCAATCAGCCTAAGGTGTTTAGAGATTGTTGATTGTTGTAGTTCATGTGCATGTGATGCTTATGTTAAACTTATGCCTGCAGGCATATGTTTATTGTCTCCTTTCCTATCTGCTGTGTTGACCATGTCTTTTTTTTTTTCACTGCTTGAGACAGAATCCAAGAGCTAATTGTCTCCATGTGGAGGCTTTAATATCTGTCATTAATTTAGTGCAGCAGTGTTACTTCAGTAAAAGGGCATATTCCTTATACAATGTATAATTAACCTATAGAACTCCCTGACATTTATGTAATTGAGTATAAGATCTCAGAGAATACAAAAACTTGGATGATTTTGGACATCTCTAATGAGAAAATGCAGTTAAATTGTAGGAATAATATATATAATATATATTTTCTGAAAACTGATTTAAGTCTTCATACATCAGGGTGCATGTCTGACAAGTATTACATTTCCCCTGTGGCCATATTATTCCATTATTGTCTACGACAAGATTTCTTGCTTAATCGTCTGAAGCATGTGATCCTAGTCACTGCGAGATGTGGGTTTCTGAGCTATGTGATCATTGCTGTGATCAGTAAGACATTTCTTCTGAAGGTATTAACCTCTAATGCTTTGTGGTCTAATTATTGCTAAAAAGGTGACATTTCAGAAGACAATTTTAATTAGAAAAACACTTTAGTCCACTAAATTTTCAGTGTTATGAACAATTTTTTTTTGTTATAAGCTTGACACAAGACCACTGTGAAACTGGAAAGAAAATGAAAATGAGCTGGAAATTTATTTTAAAGTGAACAAATAGCTGCATTTTTCTTTTTTGTTGGGGAAAGTGATTTTGAATGTTGCTGTTTTTTAAAAAAATCTTTGTGCTGGCTGGATTGTATTTGCCTGTAGCATGCTGAGTAAAAAGTGAAGATTAACAACCATATACTCAGAATAATTCCAAGTGGAAACTGAATGGGAGTAAGAGGAGGAAGAAAAATGATCATTGATGGTAACAATGAACTGGCCTGGTGGGTGGGGGGGGGCAGGTGTCAAAATTCCTTTTGGAGGCTTGTTTTCTAGTAGACTCCAGTTTCTAGTGAAGCTGTAAACATCGTATTCTCATAATTAGCACAGTAATGGGGAAGTATTGATACCCTTCACCCACTCTTGTCTTTTTCCAATTTAAAAACACAGTTGAAATCCAGCACATTCTGGAAGACATCCGTAATTTCTATGGGACCTGACTACTTAGTTTAGTTAGAAAAAGACCAAAGGAATATGTCTGTACATATGTGTTGTGGGGAATTTTCTAAGGTATTTTGCTGATTTGGAATATTGAGAATAGAGGTGCCGATGCTTGTCAGTCTGCGTACAGAAAAGGAGCAACAGTAAGCCATACCAACCAGAACAGAGCTGCAGCGCTGCACAGGCCAGCTGGCATGGATAGAAACACTGCCCAGATTTTTCTTGCAAATTTACAAGAGTTCATAGGATTGTCAATCATCGGGGAAGACAGTAAGAATAGGAAATATACGTGTCTACCCTTAATCTATGCATGCAAATGCCCAGGTTTGATTAGCAAGTCAGGTGTGCTGAGTATGTGAATCAGAGATGTGACACAGAGCTAATGTGGATCAATCTGATTCTGGTTTAGTATATCATGAGAACTCTTTTTAATCTTCCTTTTAATTTCTGTTTTCCTGTCTGATTCCGGCAATTCATCCTTCACCATGTTCACAGCACATATCTGTGGTTGTCTTTCTAGCATCTTTTGTAATGATAGGAGAGGTTTACGTTCACATTTACTGGGTTGACTATCAGCAGTGCTTCGTGCTTTCTTCTCTTAAGTCATCCATCATTACAAGCCTCACCTCGCGGTGTCCAGAGCTGTGCAGAGCCTGCCTGTGCCATCCTGTCCTGCACAGAGCCCTTGTGTGACCTGGGGCAGTTCTGCATGCCACAAAGCCCGACTGTGGCTGTGAAGCATGAAGCATGCCTAGAACTGAAGATGAGCAACAGCTTAAAATGCTATACAGTTTGAAGGGTGTAAATTCCTACTTGGCCTCCTGAATAAATGTGTGGGCCCTATGAAATGTGGGTTTCTTTTATTCAGAACTTTTCTGCTATCTTATGTGAAAATTCAGTCTGAGCTTTTCCTTTTGCCCAGTTCAGACTTTTTCCATATTCTGTATTTGTCTTTGAGAAGGTAACCCCAAAGTCTTCATGCCTTTATCTGCGTTTTGTCTCTAGATCCTGTAGTGCAATCCTTGCTGGAATTGGGCAAAACCCAGTTCAGGAGAACGTTGGAGTGTCAATAACATTTAGGTTGGTGTGGTGTATGCTCAGGTAGAGCACATAAATAAACAGCAAGGCTTTGGACAGTGTCCTGAACACCACCAATAGGTGAAAAATCTTCTTTTCAATTTTAGTGAAAGCTATGGGAACTTTGAATGTTGCAGGGTGTATCTGGGTGATCCCAAAGGCCCTTTTTTATGAGAGCAAGTTAATGAAAATGTTGTGACTACTCAGTGAGTTGGGATATTTTTCTAGCCATTGGGGGAATGGCTGGAAAAGAAAGAAAGATGACATTATCTATGCTTTTGACTTTCTGAATTTTTATTTGTCAGGTACCTGTTTGTATTACAGCTCCGACAAGATATTCTTTCAGGGAAGTAAGTACCTCTTTGCTCTTGAAGCTGTAATTTAAAGTATTTATAATAGTTAATCTCTTAGTGAGTTAAAATTTTACTGCGTGATCGTTTTTAATTCTTTATGGTATTTGTGTACAGATTGTAAACATGATTTACAGTTCCACATGTGATTTTTTTTTTCCTTTAGAATACGGTGATACAGTTAGATATATAACTTTATGTGCATCATGACTGTATTATTGACAAACAGAATGTGTAAAAACCTTTGATGGATTGACTAGGTGATGGACGTGTATAGAGAGAGCAACGACTGTCCTGATTTTTATGACCTGAAAATGTAACGTAGGCTATATTTTTCAGTATGGTAGGTAAAATAGAGGAGGAAAAGGTGATGAAGTGCAACACTTTGTGTACAGGCCAAACCTGAAAAAATATTTAGTGAGTTTATACTCTCACCCTGGCCAATAAATTCACACCTGCTCTCTTTTTTTAATTACAAAAATGCTCAAAAACATATGTTCTAAAATGTAGTGTTGAAGCAAAAATGGTTTCTTAGTCGATTTAATGTTGTCCCTATTAGTTCAAGTTTGGTTTATGGTGGAGTGTATCATATGTTTGGTGCTAATTAGAACATACCAAGTTAGGAAATAATCATATGCAAGTAAAAATTAATTGTAGATATTTTGTATCATTAATAGCTTGTAGAAGTTAATGTTTCCATTTTTTATATCAGGCTACTTTTAACCTTTATTGCAAGAGGAATTCACTGAAAGTACATTATTTTTATAGGTTTGTTTTGTTTTGTTTTTTTTTTTTAAGACTGAAATGCCCATATGAAACTGCTGTTGAACTAGCAGCTCTGTGTCTTCAAGGTATGCAATCTTTTGAAAGTGGTTTGTCTTAATGTACTAAAAAACTCACCTAGAAGTTTCTTTTCACTCTTTGGTACTTATGATTTCTCATTGATCATATATAAATGCCGTTCCTTTACCTGAGGAGGAGAATTTTAGGGTGATCACTTTCCTGCCTTCCCTCCACTCGTAACTTCTGAACTACATTAGCTGACATTGGCACACTTGCCGAGGGAAAGGAGCCTCAAAGGAACGGACAGACAAAGGTTTAATGGAAACCAGGGGCTGACCAGGGAAGAAAGACCCCAAATAGTTCCCCACTGAGGGAGAAGCTGTGATGTGTGCACTGTGAAGTGTTACCACTTCAGCCTGAAAAGCCACCTGGCCCGTCAGCACACACTTTGTAGAAGGTGGGTTCCTACATGTGTAGCTTTGCACATGGACTGCCTGCTGCCTGGCCAGTGATTGGGAGACACACTGTGTGACCGAGGAGATGGTTACAGCGCAGGAGGGGAGGGAGTGGCAGCCAGTGGAGAGGAGAGAATTATATAGACAGGTAAGAACTAAGATTACTTCTGTGTCAGGAGCAAGGGTTACAAGAAAAAAAAATCCTAGGACACTGGGTTTCATTAGTTTATTGTAGGAAAAAGTCTTTTGTTTATTGCTGCGAACACATTAGTACAAATATTCATAGAATCATTAAGGTTGGAAAAGACCTCAAGGATCATCAACTCCAGCTGTCAACCCACACCACCTAACTCACTAAACCATGTCCCACACCACATCTACATGTTTCTTGAACACCTCCAGGGATGGTGACTCCACCACTTCCCTGGGCAGCCTCTTCCAGTGAAGAAATTTTTTCTAATATCCAGGCTAAACCTCCCCTGGCGCAACTTGAGGCCATTTCTTCTTGTCCTATCACTTGTTACTTTAGAGAAGAGGCCAGCGCCCACCTCACTACACCCTCCTTTCAGGTAGCTGTAGAGAGTGATAAGGTCTCCTCTCAGCCTCCTCTTCTCTAGACTGAACAACCCCAGTTCCCTCAGCCACTCCTCATAAGACCTGTGCTCCAGACCCTTCACCAGCTTTGTTGCCCTTCTCTGGACCTGCTCCAGCACCTCAATGTCCTTCTTGTGGTGAGGGGCCCAAAACTGAATGCAGTATTCAAGGTTCAAGGTGCGGCCTCACCGGTGTGGATTACAGGGCCACAATCGCTTCCCTAGTCTTGCTGGCCACACTATTTCTGATACAGGGGAGGATGCCATTAGCCTTCTTGGCCACCTG